CTTTAATCGAAATACAAACAGCAACTGCAAAATGCCATGTCATATACTGGTGCAGCAGAACACTTAAAATCAACCTGGGGATCAACTATTTACAGGTCAATCTGGATTTTATTTCAAATTACTTTGGATATTATTCCAACATCTGGAGGGTAATAACATTAAACATGGACTCTTCAGCTACTTAGAGCCCACAGATTTCAGTTCACAACACTTTCACTGTGTTCTTCTACTTCAACTGTAAGTTGAAGTAATTGTATTAGTGGAGGAAAGCATAAACTCAAGATGACAAGAGCAAACCGAAGAGGGAAACAACTTTTTACAAACTAGCTCAGGACCAGAGGACATCAGGATTTCATTCCTGGCTCTGGCTGCAATGGCCTGTTGGTGAAGGCAAGAATAGCAGCAGCACTGTTTGGATACCTGCAGGAAACAACTACTGCATATAGGAACCTGTTCAGCTGAAAAGATCACTGGCATCCATTTTTCTGCATGTTCCAGCATCAGAAACCATAGAGAGTCACGGGGGTGTAATCCAGACTAGAGAGCACCTAATTTGGCCAATTCTCAGAAAGGAGTTGTAGCTTCACTATTATTAGTAAGCAGCATATCAATGTCACAAACAATTCAGTTCCCATCAAGCACAAACACTGCATGAAGTTTCAAGTCAGTTACATAATCATCTTCATGAGTATAGAAATTGGTGAAACACAGGTGGAGTTCACAGTGGCATGTTCAAAGTCACCATGTTAGCAGTAAGAGGTGTTTAAATGCCAATACACTGACTTAGAAAAGGAAATCTTCCCAGTGTCCTGCTCCAGACCTGTGTGTATTTTTCTTGGCTATTGAAAAACACAGGGCTTGTCGTGATTACATTAGATTATTTAGATTTGAAAAAAAGGAATCATTAGCAAAGCTACCTGCTTAGAACATATATTAACTCTTTCATGATCTAGAAGGAATTTATGTTTTTAATAGTTTGCTCTCTACGCTATTATGCCTATCCCTTAAAATACAGAACAAGTTCAATAATCATGAGTGTTTGCCCAAGTAAACCAAGACTTATATTTGTTTCCAGTTTTATCACTCAAGAGATGTCAAATGATTTTAAAGAAAAAAAAAAGAGAACAGATTAAGTGATCACAGGACAGAAACTTAGTGAGACAAACTCATTACCAGCATGCTCTTTCCTCTAGGGTACTCTTATCAAGGGAATACTGTTTACAGTGGTGGATAACTGTCACAGATTAAAGCTATAAGACTTGTTCCATACTACTTGTGGTTTATAAACTGATCACAGATACTGGGTTTTTCCTCACTTCTTTCATTTTCTCAAAATAATGGAGAAGGAGCCATTATTTGATAGCAACCACTTCCTTCCTGGGGTCCGTGTCTTTATCCGATTACATTGTTAGATCTTGTCGAAACAAGCCAGAAGGCACAAGGTCCCTGTTTCAAAGTGACTGAATGCTTTCCCATGCTCCCGACTGGACATGTGCTCGATTTCCTAACAGTAATCATGCATCAAAACAAAACGTGATACTCCAGCAGTAACATTAAAAGCTAACACTGCATGTTTTAAGATATTTCACCGTCTTGTAATAATTGCCAAACAAAAGTAGTTTAAATTATTGAAGCTCCCAGCATCACACTACATGAGGAAGCAAACCAGGTTCATTAAAAACAGAACACCTTATAACAGACCAGATGTCCTGTTGGATTATTTGGTTAAAAAACCCAAATACACATTATGTACTTAAAGAAATACTGATAATGAAACAAACTTGGAACAAAAAGTTCCAAGTAAGGTAATTCAAACCCAAGAAGCAGGTTCCATCTTTAAAAAAAAAAAAACAAACACAACCACCAGCTGAAGAAAAAACGCAATTTAAAATATTGCATCATTTTTGTTTGTTATTTAACTGTAAGCAGTAATCAATGAAATATAAAGACAATTTCTACCACAATATGAGTTTCTATACATTTTGCTTCCAGCTCAACTGATACGTAACATCCAACACGACTCACAAATCAATTCAAATATTTGCATTCCACCATTACAGCTTGGAGAGGTAATAAACTCCATGCCTATATTTAAACAAAAGCAGGCTCCAATCTCTACAAGTTATACACAAACAACACCTTGGGGTTTGCACAGGTTTCTTGAAATGGCAAGGGACCTCCTTTCCTGCCGGGCTCGGTGTTTGCCTGCATTAGCCAACTTTAAGCACCAGAGCTCTCAAAACCCCGTGTATCAAATATGTATATACAACTGTTGGATACATGATGCACCGTCATAGATACTGAATGGAAAACTGGGAAGGAGAAGCAAACCACACCATCTGTATCTTACAGTCATCCACTCCTGTCCCCACCGTTAAGACTGCACTTTTCAATATTCTTCCTTGCTCTAAGTCAAAGAAACATGGAAGAACACAGCAATAATGAGAATTTCATGCAAAATCAAATAAACCCACGTTAAGAGTGTGAAAAGGTTACGGAAAATGCATCTGAAGAAATACTTCCAATAAGTACTCGGATAAAGTGACATTAAGAACTCCAAGACAAAAACCTGTAGATCCAAAATGTGTTAAAGTGCTTTTACTGTAAATGCACAGCATCTTGGCTGAGCAGCATATGATTCCCAGGCGTACTGAATTTCCCAGCTATGACACTAACTTCTAACGTCTATTATCTCATGGAGAATGTATGCCTGTAAGCATCATTAAACTCAATCTAGTCTGTTCAGTAAAGTACAAGTCCAAATCGGAGTGGGGAAAGGAAAAGGCTGGAAGGACAGACACCACCTTGATCTGGTGTGTGGAAGAGCCAGTCTGGCTATCAGGACTCTCACTCACAAATCAACAACAGCAAAACAGCATCTTGTGCCCGTGAGGAAAACAAAAGGAGTAAAAATTATCACAATGAGTCTCCAGTACACACAGTATAAATTATCTTTACCCTGTTTCTGGAGAGGTTTCAGAGCAAATCAGTAGGCCCATTAAGAGTGATGGAGGCTACTTGCATGCAGCGATGCCTGCAGGATCCAGAACCTGGGACTTTAAAAGAGGCCGACTAAACTCACCAGTTTTTATCCTGCACTCCTCACCCCAAGGACAACGTTGTATCGTCCTGTACACGTTAGCAGACCTTAATGCATTTTACAAATGACACCAGTGATGAATGTCTGTTTCACAGGTGGTGAAACTATGAAAAGTGACTTGCCCAAACTCATCTGAGCAGGACAGTGGCAGGAACAGGAGTAAAATTTGGGACTGTGTAGTGCATTATCCACTAGGCAAAGTATCGCATCCTTTATAAATGGAGGCACGCTGTAAATTGCTTGGCTGAAGACTTTTCTGCAACGATTAGGTGTATTTTAAATTGCTACAGATTTCAAACACATACCCATACCAAAAGGTGCACTCATTAAAGAAATAAAGAAAGAAGTTACAGATCTAATCTCTGTGATCTACACAAAATTTAAGGCGAAAGTTTTTATTCAGCTGTTCATGTATTCCCATTGAAGATTCAGAGCCAGTCCACAGGCAGCCAGACTTTAAGATATAAATGCTACATCTGTTTAGATTAACCAAGCAGAAATGTAAAAACCATCTCAACTAAAGTACTTCCACATTTTTTCAGTTCACTACAACCTTTCGTTAAAAGGCTAGGTCCATCTGCTGACTATATGGCCCCCAGAGAGTAGTTCAAGTAAAGATGCATATGAACTGCAACTCAAGGCTTAAGTTACTGTTCCTAAAACCTGCAGCATGATTAAAAAGACAACAACAGAGACAGAAAGGCAGCTGTGAAGTTGCATCTGCAGTTTTTAACTCAAAGCACACTTTTCCAGCTGAATAAGCTGGTCTCTGTCTTGGTTTTATTCTAGATACCAATCAGCTAGATGGGTCCAACTATTGACATTTATAGCAGGATATAAAATTCGCAGTCGAAATAAAGCTGTATCCGTGAATCTGAGGGCAAAACTTGCATAAACAGAAGTGAGCTCTTCACGTTAGGTTTCTTCTCACTGCTTTGCCAGGAAAAGTACAGGTCTTACTCCAGAAATTCGTCATAAGCAGTGTAAATACGTAACACTGATGCTATCCTGTACTCACCATACTAGGAAAGCACAGAGCTTTCTGTCAACATCGACACTTCATTCTGAAAGTGCTTTAGCTCACAAAATCTCTACAAAAGTCACTAGAGGAGTGGCAGACAGGATACTACATAAATTCAGGGAGTTGTTTCCAAAGTACTACTGGAAGACTCTTTTTCCCCCCATGGCCAACAACAGCACAAACAACCTCTGCTGAAGCTTACTGCATCTGGGGACTTTACCACTGAACTTGACTCAGTGATGCGAGGCCACCCCAGTCAGAGTCGTGCATTGGCACAGGATGCCTGAACATCCCACGGGGTAAGTCCATCGCTGCACAAAAGCCTCCTCTCTCTTTTGCACAGACGACACTTGATTCAAACCATCCCTCCTCACTTCCACAAGCTGAAGTTGCCCGACGTTCGTGCCTGGCAGGTAAAAGCAGCTCACCCCTCCCTGCAGAGCCCGGGCGCTGGCTGAGCCCAGCTCTCCCCAGCAAACACGCGCTTTGCCAGACGAGAACGATCCCACCGGCCGCCACCGGCACGGCTCCAGCGGCCGCCGCCGCGGCACCCTTCAGCCATCTTCTGGAGGACGGGCCCCGGCGAGCCCCCCCAGCACCCCAGCTCTGCCTTCTGGAAATCACACTTCTCTAAAAACCCGCGTTTCGTTTTCGCACCGCCAGCCCCCTGCGAGCCTCCCAGCCCTCTGCCTCCGCACAAGCCCACCGGGACGGCGAGAACTTGTCGCTCCCCGCTCCCACCCAGCGGCACCTGCCCCCCACCCCCCCGCGTACGCGCCGACGGTTCCCCAAAGC